CGCAAAACGATATACTGGGTGTGGGGACGCATGCGGGCGGTAGCACTGGCGCCGTCGGTGGAGTTCCCCTATGGGGCCACAAAACGCTGCAGTGGGTGGGCGAAAATGCCAAGTTGGGTGTGTGGGACGCATGCGGGCGAATCCACCGGGGGGGGTGGTGGAGCCCCCTATGGGGCCACGAAACGTTGTACTGGGTTGGTGGAAAATTCCAAATTGGGCGCGTGGGACGCATGCGGGCGGTCCCACTGGTTGTTGTTGGTGAAGCTCCTTATGGGGCCACGAAACGCTGTACTGGGTGGGCGAAAGTGGCAAATTGGGAGTGTGGGACGCATGCGGGCGGTCCCACTGGACGTTTCGGTGGAGTTCCCTATGGGGCCACGAAGCGCTGTACTGGGTAGGTGAAAATGCCAAACCGGGTGTTTCGGGACGCATGCGGACGGTCCCACTGGGGGCTTCGGTGGAGCTCCCCTTTCTGGGGCCACGACACGCTGTACTGTTGGTGAAAATGCCAAATTGGTTGTTTCGGGACGCGTGCGGGCGGTCCCACTAGGGGTTTCGGTGGAGCTCCCTATGGGGCCACGAAGCGCTGCACGGGGCGAGTAGAAATGCCACGTTGCGTTTCCGAGACGCACGCGGGCGGTCCCACTAGGGGTTCGGTGGAGCTCCCTATCGGGCCACGAAGCGCTGTTTTGGGAAAGTGAAAATGCCAAACTGGATGTTTCGGGGCGCGCGCGGACGGTCCCACTGGGAGCTTCGGTGGGGTTCCCTCATGGGGCCACGAAGCGCTGTAGTGGGTTGGTGAAAATGCCTCATTGGGCTTTCGGGACGCATGCGGACGGTGGCCCTGGGGCCTTCGGTGGAGCTCCCTATGGGACCACGAAGCGCTGTACTGAGTGGGCGAAAATGCCAAATTGGGTGTGTCGGGACGCACGCGGCCGGTCCCACTGGGGGCCTCGGTGGAGTTCCCTATGGGGCCACACGAAACGCTGCAGTGGATTGCCACTTTGGGTTTTCAGGACGCATGCGGGCGGTCCCACTGCGGCCTTCGGTGGAGCTTCCTACGGGGCCACGAAACGTGCGAGGACTGTGCCAAATTATTTCCGGGACGCACGCGGACGGTCCCACTGGTGACGTCGGTGGAGTTCCCTATAAAGCCACGAAGCGCTGCACTGGGTGGGTGAAACGCAGGGAGGAAGGGGGGAGAGAGGAGGGGGAGGGAAAGGGGAGGAAGGAGGGAGAAACGCGGGGACCGTGTCTTCAAAACGGAGACCCAACCAACACCACAGGATGGTTGGGAAAACGCAAGAGCGCGATGCATGAAACAAATGTGAAGAGGTCCCGCGCGAAAGCTGGCCGCGCTGCAGAAAAAAACGCTGCGACGCAGCGCAGGGCCGTGGCCGCGGCCGCTCCGCCGGGCACCCCTTCACTTCGGGCACCCACGGGGCCACCAAAAAAAATAGCCTGGCGAAGGAACCAACCATATGCAGTTGGGAGTACCGCAATTGTGAGTATCTTCTTCGGTGGCGCTCCCTCTGGGGCCACGAACCGCATAAGGGTTGCGCCGAATTGCGTGGCGGGGTACACAACACGAACGAAGACGACAAGTCGAACTACGAGAGACTGAGCGCGGGTGAGTCTGAGCGCGAGTGAGTCTGAGTGTGAATGAGTCTGCGCGCGAGTGAATATATTTGCATGCATGCGAAGGTACGCTCCTCACGAGGATCGCGCCCACTCGTGTCCAAAGCTGCGGGCGCGGCGCCGCACGGAGTCCCCGCGACGCGCGTTGGTCGCCCCGGAGGGGTCCCGGCGACGCGCGCGGGGCGCCCGCTGCGCGGAGCAGAGAGAGCTAGCTGCCTGGCTGATAGCGGGCAAGGCTGCGGACGCTGGGCACAGCGACGACGGGGGCGAGCGAGGCTCTGGGCAGAGCGCAGCGCGGATTCCCGCGACGCGCGCTGGTCACCATGCGAACTGCGCCACTGCGACCTTAGGTGGAGCTCCCTGTGGGGTCACGACACGTGTGAAGGATGTGCCAAAAGAGGGCGGCGGCGCCATGCGAGCTGCGCCACTGGGACCTTAGGTGGAGATCCCTGCGGGGCCACAAAACGTGTGAGGGGTGTGCCAAAAGAGGGCGGCGGCGCCATGCGAGCTGCGCCACTGGGACCTTCGGTGGGGTTCCCTGTGGGGTCACGACACGTGTGAGGGTGCCAATTTGGGGCGGCGGGGCCATGCGAGCTGCGCCAGTGGGACCTTAGGTGGAGTTCCCTGTGGGGTCACGACACGTGTGACGGGTGTGCCAAAAGAGGGCGGCGGCGCCATGCGAGCTGCGCCACTGGGACCTTACGTGGAGCTCCCCATAGGGCCACGAAACGTGTGAGAGGTGTGCCGAAATAGGGCGGCGGCGCGCCATGCGAGCTGCGCCACTGGGGCCTTAGGTGGAGCTCCCTATAGGGCCACGAAACGTGTGAGGGTGTGCCGAAATGGGGCGGCGACGCCATGCGAGCTGCGCCACTGCGACCCTAGGAGGAGCTCCCTGTAGGGCCACGAAACGTGTGAGGGGTGTGCCGCAGTGGGGCGGCGGCGCCATGCGAGCTGCGCCACTGGGGCCTTAGGTGGAGCTCCCTATAGGGCCACGAAACGTGTGAGGACCCAACACCACAGGATGGTTGGGAATTGGCCTGGCGAAGGATCCAACCATATGCAGCTGTGCGAACTGCAATTGCAAATACCGTATTCAATGGAGCTCCCTGTGGGGCCGCGAAACGTGAGGGGTGTGCCGAAATGACTGAGGTGGACGCATGCGGGCGGTGGCTGGGGCATTCGGTGGAGCTCCCTATGGGGCCACGATTCGTGTGAATGGTGTGCCGAAATTGGTCACGAAGCGTGTGAAGGGTGTGCCGGAATGGGTGTGCGTGACGCATGCGGGCTGCGCCACTAGGACCTTCGGTGGAGCTCCCTATGGGGCTACGAAGCGCTGCAATGGGTGGGTGAAACGCAGGAAGGAAGGAGGAGGGGGGGGAAGGAGGAGGGAGGAGACGCGGGGACCGTCTCTTCAAAACGAAGACTCAACACCTCAGGACGGTTGGGAATTATCCTGGCGAAAAACCCAACCATTTGCATTTGTGGGTACCGCAATTGTGAATATCTTCTTCGGTGAAGCTCCCAATTGGGCCACGAAGCGCTGCACTGGGTGGGGGGGAACGCTGTCCTGGGTGCATGAAAATGCCAAATTGGGTGTGTGGGGCGCATGCGGGCGGTCCCACTGGGGGTTTCGGTGGGGCTCTCTATGGGGCCACGAAACGCTGTACTGGGTGGGTGAAAATGCGAAATTCAGCTTCCAGGGCGCATGCGGACGGTGGCACTGGGGCCTTCGGTGGAGCTCCCGCCACGAAGCGCTGTACTGGGTGCTGAAAATGCCAAGTCGGGTGATCCGGGACGCATGCGGACGGTCCCAGTGGGGGCTTCGATGGAGCTCCCTATGGGGCCACGAAACGCTGCACTGGGTGCGCGGGACGCATGCGAACGGTAGCACTGGGACCTTCGGTGGGGCCCCCTATGGGGCCACGAAACGCTGTATTGGGTGTTTCGGGACGCGTGCGGACGGTAGCACTGGGACCTTCGGTGGGGCTCCCTATGGGGCCACGAAGCGCTGTAGTGGGTGGGTCAAACGCAGGGAGGAGGGGGAGGAGGGCCACGAAACGTTGTACTGGGTGGGGGGGGGACGCATGCGGACGGTAGCACTGGGATCTTTGGTGGGGTTCCCTATGGGGCCACGAAGCGCTGTACTGGCTGGGAGGGACGCATGCGGACGGTAGCACTGGGACCTTCTGTGGGGTTCCCTATGGGGCCACGAAACGCTGTACTCGGTGGGGGGGACGCATGCGGACGGTAGCACTGGGACCTTCGGTGGGGCCCCCTATGGGGCCACGAAACGCTGTATTGGGTGTTTCGGGACGCGTGCGGACGGTAGCACTGGGACCTTCTGTGGGGTTCCCTGTGGGCCACGAAACGCTGTATTGGGTGGGTCAAACGCAGGGAGGAGGGGGAGGAGGGCCACGAAACGCTGTACTGGGTGGGGGGGGGGACGCATGCGGACGGTAGCACTGGGACTTTCGGTGGGGTTCCATATGGGGCCACGAAGCGCTGTACTGAATCGGTGAATCGCAGGAAGGAGTGAGGAGGGGGAGGAGGGGGAGGGAGGAAGGGAGGAGGAGAGGAGAGGAACGCGGGGCACCGTCTCTTCAAAACGAAGGCCCAACACCACAGGATGGTTGGGAACTATGTTTTGGCTATGTTTGAATATTCCTCCTGTAGAGGGACAAGCCCGACTGAACCCAGGGAGCCTCTGGCAAGAAATGGCCGACTGACTGCGGGCGTGGCGCGGCCGCGCGCGCCGGTGCTGCGAAAGTGGCCCTGGGACACACAAACAAATGGACACTGGTCCCAAGATTCCCCATGTGTTGCCATTTGTTCTGGGTGTGTTCGTCTTCCACCCCTTCCAGTTCCACATGTTCCAATCTTGTCGTGGGGGTCGCCTTTTATTTTTGTCCGTGTGTTTTTGCCCTCCCGAGTTGTGGGGGACAGCGCGGGCCCGCGCGGACGACGGGGACAGCAGCGCTCGCGGGTACGAGGCGCAGCTGGGACGGCTGTGGGGCATCCGCATCCACAACTGCCGGGGCCCTGCAATCTGGATCCCTGCGAACAGGGAGCGCGATGAACCTTCCCGCCCTCAGGGGCCGTCACACAGCAACCACTGCTCGAGAGGCCTGCGAAATCCTGGAGCACGACTCCGAGGTTTGAGCAGGGACCGGCCGTCCCGGCATTGTTAAAGGCCTACCACGAAATTTCTTCCGAATCCAAAAAAAACTGCTACAGGAACCAAAAACCGTTCGTATAATAAAAACCCGATGTGTTTGTTTTTCATTTATATATATATATATAAATAAATAAAGAGGGTCATGTATATATTCAAAGAAACTTTCGCGCTGACCAAAAAGAGGAATTACAACATGTTTGGGTCGGCCTATAGGCAAGCCGGGACGCTTCGCCATTGCTTGAGACGTGGAAATGGACGCGGTCGGGAACTTGTGCTCAGCGTCTTGCGGCGGCGGCCCCAGCGACACGCTACGCCCTGCGAGCTGAAAGAGCGTCGATCTGCCTCGCGGGGCGAAAGACTGGAAGAAACAGGGACTTCGCCGCTTGGTGACCGGGGCGTGGATATCGTGTCGTGCCGAAGCGCGGTGGACCAGAACCGGCGGAACGACACGCTACGCCAAAGTTCCTGACCGTAGGGTCCGGCGTTGGATACCTCACCGCTGCTCCGCGGGACGCTGCGAAGCACCAGGCGGCGCCGACAGCGAGACTTCTCGTTCCGCGGCCGCGCACGCCACCCGTCGCGCACGAGGCGCTGGGTCGGGGAGGCACGAGGCTGCGGCGGAGCCGGCTGTGGCAGCCGCGATGCAGGCGACGGGAGGTGGCCTGGCTGGGACTCGCTTGAGCAATGTACAGTGACAATGTAGAAGGACGAACAGCGGCATAAATATAGTTAAACGTTTGGCGTTCCGCGCGGAATTCTTGGATCTGCGCTGGACCCCCCTCCCTAGCGCGCGGAGCGCGCCAGGGGCGGCGCCAGAGGCGCCGCCAGGAGGGGGCCCAACGCGGACCCAAGAAACCCGCGCAGAACGCCAAATGTTTATATTCATGGCGTCGGTTCTTCTTCGACAGCGATCGCACCATCTGTCCGCAGGCCCGGTGAGCGCGCGGGTCGGTCGAGCGGCCCAGTGGCGCGGAGCGGCGAGTTGAGGCCGCGCCTGGGGAGAGGCGAGAAGAAGGCGGGCAGGGCGGCCGCGGAAACGGGGGAGCGAGCGCGGGGGACGGGCCTGGACCGGCGGAGGCCTGCGTCGGCAGGCTGCGGCCCTGAGCAACGATCTCACGACACGAGCAACCTGGAAGTCTGAGCCAGGTGCTGCACAGCCGGGCGAACGTGTTCTTTCTCGGCTCTTCGGCATTGGGCAGAAGGGAGGGGGGCTGGCTCCGGACCCCTGTTTAATGCGACTGCTCGCAGCAGTGCGTCCTGTGGGGGGGAGACCCCCACCTGCTTGAAACAGGAGCCAAAAACAACCTAAATCTGCTCCATCAGGGGGGGGGCATGGAGCCATAGAGAACGGAGTAGCGAAACCCGCGCGAGAGGACTGCCTCACGAAGAGTATACTTACTGCCTCATCGCAACACGGGCCGCCCTCCGCCCCCACACGGGGAGACCGCCCCCCTCACGTGCAGGGGAGGCCGCTCACTCATCGGCGAGGAGCTCTCGCAACACGGTCGAGGTACAGGTCGGCACCTTGTCGCCCCGCGCCTGCCCTGCAGCCCTCACGGGGGGGCACAGGCGGCTGCCTCCCTTCCTCGGGCGGCCGACGGCGAGGCGCGAAGGCCGCCGCCGCCGTCGCGAAGGCCGCCGCCGCCGTCGCCAACGCCCCCTGCAGCTGCTTTCTGCGGCGTGGCCTGCCACGCCGTCGTCGCGCGTTCCCTCTCCTCCTCTCGCTTCGGTCAGGTCGGGCATGTCCCTCTACAGGTGGAAGAATCAAAAATAGTCCAAAACATAGTCTGGGGACAATGTTTCTACTATGTTTGAATATTTGGGGGGCATTTTGTGATGTCCCAAATCCGCCTGTAGGAGGAAAGGCCCGACCTAACGCTACGGCCGCCGCCGTGCAGGGAAAAGCACGGCAGTTGCGCCGGCCACCACCTCGCCCGATTTACGGATGACCGCGGCCAGGTGAGCGCGGCCAATCCCACCAGCCCTCATGGGCGAAGGTGGCATTACAGGATTCATCCCCCCTTTCCAACACAATCCCATTATTCCCCCACTCAGGGAAAGATTACCCCTCCCACATACTTCCTCCCAGGTGACTGGACGGGACCCCGCGGATCGTTAGAGGGTCATTCTTGGCCCAGAATGCCTGCAACAGGGACCCAAATGTCCCAAGACGGCCTCAAAGAAGGCTCAAGATAACCGAAGATGGTTCAAGATAGCCTCCGATATACCTCTGAGAGGGCCGAAGAGAGCCACAAGACGGGCCCAAGAGCCCCTAGAGTCCCTTGAGAACCCCCAAGAAGCGAAAAGTATCATCCTCATCAGATTGCCTCATCCCTCCTCCTCCTCCTCCTCCTCCTCCAGCTTCTCCTCCTCATCCTCTTCCTCCTCCTCCTGCTCCTCCTCTTCTTTTTTATGATCTTACCATTAGTATTGTGATTAGTATTACTAGTACGATTCGTAGTATTAATAATGTTATTATTATGATTATTATTGTCATTATTCATATTCCTCTTATCTTCCTCTTCTTCTTCGTCCTCGTCCTACTCTTCCTCCTCCTCCTCCTCCTCCTCCTCCTCCTCATCATCATCATCATCATCATCATCATCATCATCATCATCATCATCATCATCATCAGCATCATCATCATCATCATCATCATCATCATCATCATCATCATCATCATCATCATCATCATCATCATCATCATCATCATCATCATCATCATCACCCCCCACGCGGGCCCCAGAGATGGCCCCAAGAGGCCCTCCTGGGCCCCTCCTCACTCCCACAGATATTTGCCTTCACCCTTGTTGCCCCCATTGTTTTTACCATCACATGTGTGCGTGCCTCTTCCTCGCTTCTCATGCCAGCTCCCGTGTGCCTGCATGGGCCGGTGAGGATACCCGCGGCGTCAAGAGCTGTGCTGTCCGTGCGAGATCCACCCCAGCTCGTGCCCTCAAGCTGGCGGCGGCCCACAATCGCCCTCCAGCCCATACGGGGGGGTGCACGTTCTGCACGCCGCTGCGCGCGGCAAGCTGCTCTGCCGCGCCGCGTGGCCCCCCCCTCTCGCGCTCCGCCTCCGAGGACCGCAGAGAACACCGCCGTAGCACGCCGGGTTGGGCCGGGGACCTGCTCGATCGCCAACGCTTGCCGCAAGGAGGGAGGGGAGACGAGGCAGGGGAGGAAGACGAGGGGAGGAGGGGAGGAACGGATGGCTAAGGGGTTAATGGGGGACGGGGGAGTGGGCGAAGGTGGGAAAGACGAAGTGGGCAAGAGCCGAGTGACGCGAGAGGCGGCCCTGGCCAGAGGTGGCCTCGCCTCCTCCCAGCTCTCCCAGGGCGGCCACGGTGGCCTCCCGAGCTCCCAGCAGGATCTCCGAGCGCCAGGGGGTCCTCCCGGCTCCTTGGGCCAGGGCCACCTCTGGACCTCCGAGGAGAGGCGGCAGGGAGGAGGAACGCGCCGGATATGCTACCAGCCTGCGCTGTCGGGGCATGCTGCTCCGAGCACGCTGCCCGACTGAGATGCAGCTGCCGTCAGAGAGAGCAAATTGCGCTGGCGCTGCCTATTCCTTAAGAGCTGTAAGGAAATTGAGGAGGGAAGGAGAAGGAGAGAGATGGAGGGAGGGAGAGAGGCGAGAAGGGGGGAGGGATAGGGGAGAAGGATGGAGGAGGAGAGGTGAGCGGGGCCGACAAACGGGATGGAGAGAAATGGAGAAATGGAGGAGACGAGGAGAAGAGAAGGAGGAATATCAGGAAGAGGGGAGGAGAGGGGAGCAGGGAAGGGAAGGGGGAGTTGGCGAGGAGGGAGGAGGAAACGAAGAGAAGGGGAGACGTTGAAGTGAAGGAGCGGGGCAGGGTGGGGGGGGGGGAGGAAGCGGAGGAAGGGAGGAGGCGGAGGACGGGAGGGGGACGCGGACGAGTGACGGGAAGCGAAACAACAGCACGAAACAGGATGAGGGAGCAGGGACAGGGAACGTGGCGGCGGAGGACCGGCCGAAGCACCACAAACAGCTCCGGGTCCGCGCCCCCGCCCGCGCGCCTGCCCCGCGCGCGCAGCGCCGCACCGCGGCGGCCGCCCGCGGCATGCGCGCGGGCGTACGACCCCTACTGCTCTGGCGGGTCCTGCCTGGCCCCGCCTCCGAGCTGGCCGCGGCTGGTGGCGCGCCACGAACATCTGGAGGCTGTGTTCGCGAATATGTGGCGCGTAACAGTCGCTGCCCGGGCCAAGCCCCCTGGCCACCTGACGCGCCCCAGTTACCACGGCAGCGATCGTACGTAGGTGGGTGGCCTGGACCCCCCCCCCTCAAAATGCTGGTGCTCGCTCGCATACTATGGCGAGCGCAGCAGCCCCCCCCCCTCCCCGACGTACCCCACCCCGCCCAAGCGTTACTGTTACCTGCCCCCCCCCCCCAGGGAAACGAACGATAATCGAAGTAATGAAAAAAACAACTCATGTGCACCCGCCAGCGAGTTGTTGCATCTGTGCCCTCGGGCAGGGAGGGAGGTGGTGCGCGAAACCGCTGGCCCTCAGTCGCGATCCACACGTCGCCACCCTATGAGATACGACGCTGCAGAAAAGATGCAGCATCACATCAAATCACGAGCGGAGCTCTGGACCCCATCTTGCTGCGTCCTTTGTCGAGACGGATCGGTATTTGTAGAGGCCGCCCAGAGAGGGTCAGAGCAGATGTGGTCGGAGGATCGCGCCACGTTGTCCGTAAATTAGCCATGCATCGGCAATGCATCGGCGACGTCGGCGACGCATCGGCGACGTCGGCGTGGAGAAAATCGGGCTCCAAATCAAGCCGCGTCGCCGATGCACTGGCGATGCGGCCCGATGCGCCGACCTCATCTTCTCGGACCTCATCTGGGAGGCCTGGAATGTGACGATCCTGAGGCCAAAAACCTGGCGAAAACGCGCAGTGTGCGAAACCAACGATACGGGCGAAAAAAAAGACAAACCTAATATTTGTTGGGCTATAGGGCTATGGGGCTATAGGGCTATAGGACCATAGGGCTACAGGTCTATAGGACTACAGGGCTATAGGGCTATGAGGCTATGGGTATATATAGAGCTATAGGGCGATAGGGTTATAGGGCTATAGGGCTATGAGGCTATAAGGCTATAGGGCTATAGGGCTATAGGGCTATAGGGGTATAGGGATATAGGGCTATAGGACTATAGGGCGATTGGGTTGTAGGGCTATAGGGCTTCAGGGCTGCAAGGCTATAGGCCTAAAGGGCCATAGGGCTATCGGGCTGTAGGGCGATAGGGCTATAGGGCTATCGGGCTATAGGGCTATAGGGCTACGGGGCGATTGGGCTGTAGGGCTATAGGGCTGTAGAACTATAGGGCTATATGGCTGTAAGGCTATAGAGCTAAAGGGCTATCGGGATGTAGGGTTATAGGGCTATAGGGCTATAGGGCTATAGAGCTATAGGGCTATAGGGCTATGGGGCTATAGGGCTAGAAGTCTATAAGGTTATAGGGCTATGGGGTTATAGGCTATATGGCTGTAGGGCAATGGGGCTATAGGGCTATAGGGAGGGCTATAAAGCTATAAGGCTATAGGGCTATAGAGCTATAGGGTTACAAGGCTATAAGGCTATAGGGCTATAGGGCTATAGGGCACCTGGGCACCCGGGCACCCGGGCACCCGGGCACCCCAGCACCCAGGCACCCGGGCACCCGGGCACAGGGGGGAACCCGGGCACCCGGGCACCTGGGCACCCGGGCATGCCGCCGAAATCGGCGCCATACCTCACCCAACCATATAAATCCGCTAGGACCCCTACAGAGGCAAGCTCTGATTGGGGAAAAACGGATCTCTGGGCCCGCCGCGAGGCTCAGGAGCAATCCACACGCGGAGCCTGGGAGCCTGACCCGAGCCGAGATCGCCCAGGCTGGGGGAACCACAAGGTACCAATAGCGCTACACCCCCCCTTAACCTGGCGTATCCCAAACCGGACCTGACCCAGCCCCTGTCGACACTGCGCCAAAGCCAACCTCACCCATGAAGGGTGTCGCCAGCAAAATGTTCAATCAGAGATGTGGCCGTTTAAAAATAAGCGCGTCGTCGGAATGCAAATGTCACGTGCTCTTCGCGTGGGCCTGGCTCGGTGTCACCGAGGTCCGGGTGACGTTAGGTAGAGGAGGACCTAGAGGAAGGAGGAGGAAGAGGAAGAGAAGGAGGACCGAGGGGGACCCGGCGCCCGCAGCGTCGCCCGCCCCAGAACTGGTGCTCGCCAGGCATGCCGGCGCACGTCCACGCGCAGGCGGCTTGCCCAGGCTTCGGCCCGCGAAAGTCAGGCCCGCTGTCCTCTATAATGCGCGAGGAGGATGCAAGCTCCTTGGACACCGACGTCGAATATTTTCGAGTGGGGCTGGTCATCGCAAGTGTTTAAGGATGGACCGAAAAGGCAAGGATGCAAGGGTACCCTTTGGCAGGTTACCCATGCTCACAATGGAATTCGACTGCAAGTGTGAAAAGTCACGACCAGAGCCTGACCCCATCTTTCGGGCCCATTTCTTCATCAAAGCGGATCTGGGGAAACCAAAAAAGGCGCCGATACCGCCACTCCCCGGGCCTCTCCTGGCCTGCGTTCTGACCAGGACTTCGAGGCCAATCAAGCAAGCGGTGGCGACGAGGGCCTCCCAGGAGGCCCAGAAAGGGGGAAGAAACAACAACACCAACAACAACAACAACAACAACAACAATCATTTTACCCGAACGCTCAGTGTTCTCACCAGTGCCAGGGTTTTCATACGACGCCCGCCAATACCCCCACTTTGTGGGGGGGCCGGTTCAAGCTCTACCACATTTCCAAACGACTCTTCGCCACCACCCACACCCAGCTTCCCGCCCTATGACGTTCGGACACTTCACTTCGTGGCATGCGGACGACCGTGGCTACTACACTGGCGCATGGTTTCAATGACTTCTTGTGGTAACATCTTGTGGAAACTAGCTTAGTATACGACGACGACGATTTGAAGGGCCTACGGTGCGAAAAATGATTTTATGTTGCGCAGTGCTAAAATTCCTACGAAACCCAATGGTTTTTGAAGATTTCGGCGTGCGCACGGAAAGAAAAAACGAATGTGTCCCGCATGGTATTATTTGACAGGGATGATGGCCCTGGCAGGTGCGCAACCGTTGTTGGAGAAGTTCGAAGCACGTGAAGAAGTTGATCGCAAAAGCCCGTTTGACAGAAATGTTTAAAAAAGTTGGGTTTCCTGCAAATCCGCAAGAGCGCGCGGGATGAAATTGTGACACTTTGGTTTTTTGATGTTTTTATGTTGAAATCGTTACGAACACTAAGGTTTTGGAAGGATTTCGTCTTGCGCGCGCGAATGTCCACTTTACCTTATTTTTGCAAAAAAAAAAAAAAAAAAAAAAAAAAAAAAAAAAAAAAAAAAAAAAAAACAAGGGGATTCTTGAGTTTGGTTATGTTATTGAAGTTTGGTTATTTAGAACAAGAAATTTCATTTTATAGTGTTTTTTGCAAGGGACAGCGGGGGGGAACAAAACAACCGGATCTTGATGACATCGTATTACCTGAGGCTTCCTCACGAAAATGATGAAATTGTAGCTGCGGCCTAGGCGCGGCGAGGGGGTCGCGCACCAGGGGTCCCAACAATAATTATTCTTTAGAATAAATAATGTTCAACAACAACAACAACAACAACAACAACAACAGGAGGAGGAGGAGGAGGAGGCACCTTTTCCTCCCCTGAGGATCGATCTGCCAGGCCCCCCCCCCCCGCGAGGGACGGCGCGCCGCCCGCGCCCGCGGCTCAGGGGCGCCCGGGCGCAGAGGCGGCCACCACCGCCGCGGCCACGCGCCCGCAGGCCTGGGGAGGAGGCGAGCGGGCGGGGGGGCCCGGCCGGAGCGGGCTCCCTGGGCGAACCGAAAGGGTGTTTTTGTTGTCGTTTTGTTTTCATGTTGTTTTCGCTTTCCCTCGAACCGAAACGGTGTTTGTTGTTTTCGTTTTGTTTTCGTTTTCGTGTTCGTTTTCCCTCGCACCGAAACGGTGTTTTTTTTGTTTGTAGTTTCCCCCGAACCGAAAGAGAAAGGGGGCAGGGCTGAACCTAAACGGTGCTTTCCGTCTCCGTTTTGTTTTCGTTGTCCCTCGTCCAGGGGCCGCCGTTGCCACAGAACGAAGTCGGAACGAAAACGGCCCAAGAGATCGCCAAAAACACTGTTTAGGTCCAGCCCTGAGAGGGGGGGGAGGGACCCCACAGATGCAAAGCTCGGTGGCAGCTCACGCCATCTTGTCGGCTCTTGCGAGTCGACGCGGATCGACGCTGGTCGACGCTAATCGACGCTGAATCGACGCTAACCGACGCCAAGTCGGCCCTATCTCATCGACTCCCAGACGCTGATCGACGCTAATCGACGCTAAAGACGGAATAAAGAGGGCATGCCAGGCTCCCATGATTTGCTACCGAACCAAAGTGTCGCAAAAAAACAGGACGGAGATTGTTCTCGATGTTTGGCCTCTGGAGGTCCTTCTTGGGCGCCGGGACCGTGGAAAAACGACGCGAGATGAAAGACGGCCCTGGGAAAAGGGTCGGGACTTCGGGGGACCGCGTACCAACAAAAAGCAGGACATCGCACGTCCAGGGAGGGAGGCACCTCCCGAGTGTGCGGGAAACTCCGAGGTGACTCCTGTCTTCACAGGAGGAGGAGGAGGCAGAGGCTGACGAGGAGCAGCAGCAGGAGGAGGATCCCACCCGCGGGCGGCCCAACTTGTGGCCGGCGGGCTCGGCGCTTCCCCGGGGGCCTGGGGTCTGGGGGCGAGAACCCGACGGTGCCACAGCCGCGTCGGGGCCTCCTCGTGTGGGCAGACACCGCACGCAGGGGCTCTGACCTGCGAAGGAGGCCGAGGGGGGGTAGCCCAGACCCCCTGGCCTCGCGCAGAAGATCACGCAAGGAGTTGCTGTGTGCCTCTGGGGACCCTCGCAGGGCCCCCAGGGCCATCAAAAACTACTCGGGCTGAAGAAACGGTCCAAGGGAATGGGACGAGACCGCCAGGGTCGACGCTGTGAAAAAAATCACGACGTCGGGGGTCTGGGAAGGAAGGAGACCTCCCTGATCCCCGATCCGATCCTCCACCTGAGCTGCGGACCCTGGGTTCACTTCAGGGGATGTGGCCCTCGCTGATCCTCCACCTGGATCTCCTCCTACACCCTCTTCACAATTCTCCTCCTCCTCCTCCTCCTCCTCCTCCTCCTCCTCCTCCTCATCATCATCATCATCATCATCATCATCATCATCATCATCATCATCATCATCATC